TTTATATATATAGTATATAAGAAACAAAATAATCTATGAGTGGCTAGAAAGACAGATACTTCCAATAGCTTGATATTCACAAAACGGACAACTTTAAATCATCTCTTTTTCTTTCCTAGTTCAGGAATTAGTAGAAAGTGGTTGATCAGACATTAATTTTCAAATGAGAAACAAGTCTACAATTAGACCTAAAAGGGATAGTTCAGAGACAAATATATTTTCATATATTTACTACATAGACTTGGAATGTTACCTGATACTTTTATGCTGAACCTAATAATGTTGTAAAAATGTACTTCTTTCAGAAATTCGTACTCTTGTGGTTGGAAGACAGCCTCATATGAAGTTCTCCACTTTGAAATATTCCAAGGGGAAAGATTAAAAGTTCATTTTTTCTTTAAATTTGATTTCAATCTTCTCGTGTATTTTCAAGCCATCTTTTTTTTTTCCCCCCCAAGAATATCATTTATTCTTGATAATATTTAGCATGCTCAAGAGTAGATTAATTGTAATATTCACAATCTCTTGTCTATCTGTTTCTACCTAATATCACATTTTTATATTCTCTTATAGTGCTGGACATTATTCTAATGAAGTTATCTTAAGGACTCTCTTAGCATGCTTCATTGTGTCAAGATCCACTAAATTTAAGTAGAATCAAACACAGCTAACCTGTCTTCCTGTTCTGTCTTATGGTTTTGTTGTTTATATAACCAAGGATGACAAAGCTGCAGCACTGTTTAGGGCTTCATGCTGAGATGCTTGTCTTGTAAGGTGCAAAAAAGATATACTTCTATTTTCTGGATTAAGACTAAATTGTGGTTTAAATGAAAGGTATTTTCTTTTATTACTTCAAGAAATTCTCAGCAATTAATTCATCTTTATGTGCAGAACGTAACTGCAAATGAAAGAAAAATACAGTTCCAATTATCTGAAAACCCAACCAGCTGAAATGATGAGGTAAGGGTAAAATTTAAATTCTGAACATTTTCAGGTAAAAAGAAAGTCAAATGCAATTGTAGAACTCCCTGCAATAAATGCCCTTTCTTCTCTTTCTTCTCCTTGCCTACAAATTTATTTTAACCCTACTCAGGCAGGTTGCTTGGTATCCTTTGCACCATTTCCTTTTTCTATCCCTCTCCCCTCCCTTGTAAAATAAGAGCTTCCCCCATTACTCTTAGCTCTCATAATTTCATACAGTAAAACCAAAGCAGCAGTAGCAACCAAGTCCAGTAAACAGTAAAGGATCAGTGACAGTACAGGCAAGAAATGTATTGAATTTCCTGTTTCAATGTGTATTCTCTCTTAGCTCATTAAATCATTACAAGTATAAAAAGTTTCACAGAACTAAGGAACAGTGTTTATCAATTGCTTTGTTGCTATTGTCTCAGTAATCCCTTGCAGGTGTTATCTGGGCCTGCCTGTAGTCCTTGCATTCATGCAGCAATCATTAATAATTTAGGTTAACCATAGTTTAATTTATTCAAATTATATTGTGCATCAAAATAAAACCACATAAAAGTACAGTAATACTAACTGTACTGGAACTAACCATCTGACAAGCTCAATTAGCATCACTTTAAACACCAGAGCAGAAAGTCAGCAGTCATTACAGAAATTTCTAGCTTCTGGATAAATTACTAGCTCAATTTAAAAATTGCCTGTAACCTTGTATACATTCCATACAACCAAATATTTCTTAGATCATAAATAAGACTCTGACATCCTTACTTATTATCTGCCACTCTGCATGTCCACTACTTTGACATGTTCCATAAGATTTGGCGAGAACTGCTGATGGATAGCTAGCAACTTTTACCTCTTTTTGGGGGCTCTATCTGTCTGCTTACAGAAATAGTGTGACACCCATTCCTAGAGGTCAAAATCATGCATAGATCACAACGTACATATCTGGCTCTGCATGGCCAGTACTCTCATTCCTGGGATCTGGATTACGTATTGAACTGCCAAAAAGCATCAATGGAAATGACATGTAGGCCTGGACAGCAGCCACAAAAAAATAAAATTAAAAAAAAAAAATAAATCAGTGTTAAGAAACCATATAACAGGTTCCTGATGTGTAACAAAACAAGGTTTGGTAAATTGGTTATGCTCGTATGTATTAATAAATGAACAGTACTTCAAGAACTTTAATAAAAAAAATACATTTAACTGAAATACGATACAACTGGTTTTCAGTAACATACATATTTTACTAATGGAAAGAATTATCAATGTAATTTAAAAGAAAATTATCAAAATATACAAAACAGGCTAGCTCCATGTTGATTAACTATTCCCAGCTATATAGTGAACATTATATAATCATTTCTAAAGAGGAAGCAGTCATAAAGTCTGACTATCAGACCTAGAAGTTTGAGATCCAGAAATCTGTACAATTGTATTGCACTGATACTGACGAGCCTGTTTAGTGTAACAGTGCTATGTAAGCAACAAAAAAGTGGTCTTTGTAGAAAATACTATATTCAGAAATCATCTGGGAGGTAGCAATAAGAAATTTCTGAATAAAACATGAATTCTGACTTCCTGTCCCAGCATTTTTTCAAGTACAGTTAGATCAGTCTGGAGCATACAAAAAAAAAAAAAGAAAAGAAAAGAAAAGAAAGCAACAACAAAAAAATCAAACCTCCTATATCAGCACACTATTTTCTCAAGCAAAAGAATCAGAGTATATAGACAAGAGCTTTATACTGCAGTCTTCCATATCCTATTTTGTCCTTGAGCTTTTAATGGACCATCATCTGGATGCAAGTATGTCAATGTATGGGAACTTTGAGTCACAGCCTGAACCACTGATTGACCTTCTGAGGAAGGGACTGAGTCAGCTGTGAAAACACGGCTGAAGGTGATTCACATGTGTGACCCTCTCCTAGATCCCATTTAAGCGCTGACTGCTGCTGGGGAAGGATCTCTTTTTGGACATCTCTGCTCTGTAGAGTCTTTTCTGTGAACCTAGATTTCTGCATACAGGTAAGCATTCTTTCCCTATTTGTTTCTTTTCCCATTTTCACCATGATGATTTTTCCATCTATAACACCCACTGTAACAGTTAAGAAGATGGACTGCTGAAAAAAGTAGCATTGAAATGATAAATGTAAGCAGTAGGCCTAGAGGGGTGTGGTGCAGGAACATATAAGAGAAGGAAAGGCCCACTTTTGCATTCGGTGCTTCTGTAGTAGCAGAATGCAAAAATGGGAATCAGCCTCATTCAGCAACAAAAGTATCTTTGCCCACTTTAACATTTGATGTGCTGTTGCAGATTGAGGAAGTAAACTGTCAAAAATAATAATAAAAAAAACCTGCTGCTATTCTCGTGATGCCCTGAAGAACAAGCTGCCCCCTAGGCTTCTGCTTGATGGGGGCAAGTGATTGGAAGTGTCAGAGGGAAAACAGGGTTTATGGGTTCACTTTCTTCTTGGGCAAATGGTGTCTTCCCTCTGAGATAGAAGATGGATGCTTATAATAAGAGATGAAGAAAGATGGCTGTCTCTATATCTTTGAATAAATGTGTGCTGTCACAGGAAAAAGAACCTGTCTGCCATTTTTGGATACCATTAAGTGCATAACAGAAGGCCAAAGGCCTTCCACTCTGGTCTTGTGAAACAAAGAAATTAAAACTGTACTGAGCCCCAAAGTCTTTAAGAAAGCAGTTTGAATTTGAAAACATTCAAAAAGATCTACCACTTCCTTTTCTTACTCATTCTAATAATTTTCACATTTAAAAATGTGTTATTTCCTGTATTACTTTCCTTCCAGCTTCCATAGATTGCTTTTTCATACACTTTTCTCTGCTTTAGTCCTACTCTTTTTTTTCCTTGCCAAGATGCACTATACTACTGGCTATACTGTTAAACAACATATTTTCAAAGTACCAGTCCCAGAACTGGTACTAATAGTATTCTACTATTAGTCTAACAAAGCCTGTAGTAATCATCTGATAGTAACCACCTGTGTTCTACTCTCTGGGTAAACACATCCTAATTTAAGTAAAATATATTGACCTAAACATAAGCATTGTCAATGCTCAATATCTACTCTCTATTTTTTGAGGCATATCTTGCATTATTTTTTCCTAGGTGTTTGAGCTTAGATTTTTTTAAAATTGTAAAAATTAAAACACAAGCACTGACTTTTTGTGTTAAAGAGCAAAAAGATACATGAACAATTCACTTGTCAAAAAGGGACAGTCACATCAAAGGCAGAGAAAAAGAAAGGAAAGGATGATCCTTATTCCCAATGGATAGAACAGAATTCTATCCATACAGTGTCAGATACTGAAAAGAAAGTTTCAGAAAGGGATGTAAATGGAGGGTCAGTATACAGTCTGAAAGTATATGAAAATCACTATCCTCCCTTCTTACCATAATTATTCAGAATAATTAGAAGTAAGATTACAACAGCTTGTAAATAACTCTGTAAGCAATACAGTGCACATGTGCAGGAAAAGCAGTCCTTTCTCAAGAACTGCTGGAATCTTGTCCAGCATGTGCTACAAACAGCTAAGGCTCTCTCCTTGGAGACAGCTGGGAAAGGTTCTCATAATTTGATTTTACAGTGACAATCCTTTGCTCTTTTCCTGTAAATAGCTAGATGCATAGGCTCTGTAGCTGAGTGAGGCAAGCTCTTTTTTCCCTTAAGTTAATGTCCTGCTTAGTCAATTGGCACACTTATAGTGAAATCTAAACACCCAGAGGTTTTTCCAAATCTGCCAGTATAGATGAGCTCAGCCAGGCATGCACACCACATCAGGTAACAGGGAAGAGCACAATGCTGTGGAAGGTCTTTCCCCCTCCCTGGCATCAGTGCAGTAATAATTCCATTTGGAAGGCTCACAAAACAAATGACATTTCAGCCAGTACAGTGGGCGGGGTTGTACTCAGGATCACATCATATGATTTCACTAAATCCTTTTATAAATAGTATTTGAATATGACTAGCTGACAGCACTGGAAAAGTTGTGTCCTCACCTACTCTGATTACAAAGGTGTACTCTGCAGGGCAGATATGCCAATCAAGCAAGACAGAAACCTAGAACTTCTAAAAACCACTACAGTCTTTCCTTTTGAAGAAAACGTTGCAACCATGTCTGCACAGAGTATATGCAATGACCTAAGAGACATATTGCTAGATTTCCAGAGATAACAAAGACATAGATGGATAATTCTCAGCATTACTACTGTGTAATAATTTTCTGATGCAGATTACAATACTGTTGCCTTGCCCACTATGGCTGCTGCTAAACACTTCTGTTATTTTGAGATGCAGAAGAGCTATAATACTGCACAGTAACTAAGTACATGCACAGCTTTCACTTCAACTCTTTCCCTTGAAAGCCAATGCCATCGTGTGACTCATGTTGTGAAAAGCTCAGTTAGGTGATTCTATAATTAAACACAGCAAGGTCAGGAGAAAGGAGGACAACTCAACACCTCTACTGCCATCAGAGCACATCTGTTTTTGCCACAGTGAACTGTAAGGAAGAAGCACTCTGATAGCAGCTGATGACACTTATGATACTTTACCACATTCAAAGATCACCTGTACAATGAACCAGTGCTGCAGGAAATTCTAATATGCTGCTTTCAACAGTGGATAAGTGTACATACTCTGAAAAAGCTTGCTTATGCTATCTGATATGACTCTGGCCTTACCTTTGCATTTGAATTTCTGAGAGTCCTTCAGAGATGGCATTTTGACCTCATACGTTCTTCATTTTGTGGGCGTGCATACAGCCCTCATGCTCCTCCTGTGCTGATTCCTGTATAGGACAGTTGGCTGGACCACAGGATTGTGAGAAGTTTGTAGCGGTTGTCCTCAGCAGGCTTTGACATGGGAGTGCAAGTGTACATACTCCAAAACAAATGTCTAGTACACTGGAAACTTAGGAAACAGCCCATTGTAGTGATATCTTGCACCAGCTGGGGTACAATGCTGTGCCACAACTGACCTGTTCCTACAGAAATGCTGCTTCCAATGGACAGCTGTAAGTATGGTTTACAACAGTAAAGGCAACAGATGTGGCTGAAGATGATTATTATCCCTAATGTGATAAGAAAGTCACCAGGGGAAACTAAGAATCATTTTAATCTACAGTGCTGTTGATTTCATTAGGTTTGGCATTCTGTAGAAGATACAGATGTGAAAAATGCAACGACGTTAGTCAGAAAACTTGCTTAAGAATAAATGGATTAAAAAATAGTGACAGCAAGGTGCTGTGTGTGTGTGCAAAGCACAGCTGGGAAGTAATCTGACCACAGTAAAAACATGTCCTTAAAATCTGCTCCTCAAAATGGAATAGTACTGCAGCTGTATGTTTGATCAGAAAATCAGTTTGTGAAGAAATAAGCGATAAATTCCATCAACCTCGATCACCTCCTCACATTCACTCGGCGTTACCATCTTCACGGGTGCAGTAAGAGCTGCTTTAAGTATCTCTGCTACCTAAAATATTTACAATTCTCATCCCAGCTGACTTAACAGATTTCCAAGTGGAGATTATGTTGTTTGTGTTTTAAGTTTAAATGTTGCCTGCCATCGGTGCTATTTCTACAGACGTGTGGGACTTGCACTGATCCTGAAACTCAGGAGGAATAGCTCGTCCTGGGCTGAGACGGCCGGGATCTCCTCAGCACCGACCGCGGCTACGGAGCAGGCTGTCCCTCGTTCCTCCTGCCCTGCACTGAGAACTCTCCGTGCTGCCTCCAAACCGGAGGTTCCTCGAGCTCTACCTCCTCCGGCGGCCAGGAAAGACGTTCCGGAGGAGGCACGAAGGCTGCTTAGACGGTTTTATCCGGCGGAGGCGGGCGGGGGAGGGATGCTCTTCCCTCCTCAGCCCAGGTACCCGCGGGTCCCCGGCACGCGTCACGAGAACACGCACCCCCGTGGCCGCGAAGTCGAGCTCAGTCGTGGCCGCGGCCGCCGAGTGGTAGAGAAGCGGCGCGGCGCAGCACGGCCCAGCTGAGGGCGCGGCCCGTCCCGCCCCCGCGCCGCGCACAGCGCCAACAGCCGGAGCGGCGGCACCACCTCGGCGGCGCCGGGCCCCGCTCCCTCCTCGCGCCTCTCCTCTCTCGCCGCCTTTTCCTGTCTGCATCCTCTCCGGTCCTCCGCCCCTCTTTCACCCCCCCCCTCGCCATTTTCACCCGGGAGCAACTCGACTAGGACTTCCCTGAAACTTCGCGGAGAAACTCGCCCGGCGCCTCCGTGGCGGCCGCGAACTTTTCACCGCGGCGTCCGCGTCTCTGCCTCCTTCCCCGGCCCCGCGGCGCCCCGGCAGGCTGGTCCCGATGAGCGCTCCGCCGCCGCTCCGCCCGCCTAGCCCGCTGCCGCCGCCCGGGGCTGCCGCTGCTGCTGCTGCTGGCGGCGGCGTCGCTTTCCACCTCCAGATCGGGCTGAGCCGGGAGCCCGTGCTGTTGCTACAGGACTCTTCAGGGGACTTCAGCCTGGCCCACGTCCGGGAGATGGCTTGCTCCATCGTCGACCAGAAGGTGAGGAGCGGTGCCCCCTCCCTTCCCCCCATCCCCGCCATCCCACGGCCGCTGTGGCGGCGAACTTTTCTGTCCCGGCCTGCTGGCGGGCTTTGCCCGATGCTAGAGCACTGAGCGCAACTTTCCGGCCCTCCTCCGCCGCCCGACCTGGCTCCTTCCCTTCCTCGGTTCCGCTCCTCGGCTTCCCCGGCTGCGGGCGGGATGCTCGCCCGCCGCTTCTGCTCCGTTTGTCGGCCGGCGCTCGCGGCGCGAAGTGCCGCGTAGGAACCGGCCCCCGGGTCGCTGCGGCTGCTCCCGGTGCTGCGGGAGGGGGAGGGGGGCGAAACCTGTCATCGCAGCGCCCGGGGCAGCTCTTGTCCCAGCCTCGGCCGGGAGAGGTAGAAACTTTCCACTGGGGAAAAAAAAAAAAAAAAAAAAAGAAAGAGCAAGCAAACATCAACAAGGAAAGACCAGCATTCACAGCGGCGCAGCGCCCGCTCGATACCCGGGCAGGGCAGCCCGGCTCCCGCGTCCCGCCGCCGCCTAAGGCGGGGCCGGGGGCGCCTCTCGGGCCGGTGACGCGCGGCGGGGCTCGGGCAGCGCCCCAGCGCTGCTCCTCCGGCGGCCGGGTGGGGGTCTCCGATTGGGCTGGCGCCGAGGGCGAGCCCGGAGCTGGCAGGTGGCCGTGGCGCAGGAAGAGGCCGAGACTTAGAGGAGCAGCCGGGCTCGGCCTGGCTGCAGGTAGCAGCGCGGAGCAGAATGCCGTCGGGCAGAGGGCTGTGGAGTCGCGGAGCGCTCGGAGTTCCGCTCCACCGGCGTCTGCGTGCCCCGTCTGCTGCCTGGAGCCGTTTCCTATTCCGAGTTGTATAAAATGTTGCACTGTCCCAGTGCTTCTTGAGTGAAGGACCAGAGTAACTGTGTAATGATGATTGCAAGAGATTACAACTACAAACTCAACCGACCAAAACTTAGACATCCGGGATTGTTATAACGCAAAAAGTTGTGATTTTTTTTTTCCTTGCTTATACTGAGGCAAAATATTTTCCAGCAGCATGCTTTTTTTTTTTTTTTTTTTTTTTTGAAGTCACAGTTGTGCTTTATTTGTGTTTGAACTTTGCTGAAAGCGGAATTTACCTTTTTTTTGAAGAGCACCTAATAAAACGTTTTGAAAGAAGTGTTATACACACAGCTTCACTTCTAAATTCTGTGTCTATCTTAAGAAGTGGCTGGTGACCTGCACTGCTAAACCAAACTGAAGAAAGACACAGCTGTTTTATAATGTTGCCATATTGGCTATCAGCCTGAAATTTGTTGCTTGGCCACGGAGGTCAGACACAGCTTAACCAATGCGTAGTGCTTTGCCATTCGTGTTACTGTGCTTGCAGGAATGGAAACATGGTAAGATCATTGCATGCATTGTTAATGTATTTGTGCTTGAGGAAAGCACTAATTTCAGGGCATTATAATTAGATCTAGTGTAATCTTTCATACTTCCTAACAATTTCCTAACTTCCTAACAATGCAGTATTGTCTAAAGAAAGTCGAATGCTTTGGCTTTTCCTCCCAGAGTCAAGCTGAAGTCAGAACTGACATAACAATGTCAAACACTTTAATTTGTTGGACAGTACAAAAGAGAAAAGCATTTACCAATTTTTCTTCACAACAATCCCAGGTGAGGAACTTTCTTCTCAGCACAATTTCTCATTGCCCTAGTTCCTGCTTTCCCAAGGCTGGCAAGAAAATTTGGATAAAAGAAAGCGATAATGAGGAGGTACAGAGGTTTCTCATTTGTTTATTTGGTGTTTTATTGTTGTTGTTGTTGTTTTACTCCTTGGATGGTGGCCTGCAGTTCCTGCTCTTTGCAGGTTAATTTCTATGTTATTTAGTAGTGAGAATTTTTGTTTTAAATCTGCAAGCATGTCTGTTGATGTGAGTTCTGCTGCCACTCGCTGTTTCAGTGTCACAGGGGGACTGTTTACATGTGCACAGTTACTCTGCATCCTGGCAGAAACTTGTTTAAAAAAATGGCCTGGAATCAGATAACTCAGAGGTAACACCTCCTGTGTGCCAGAGATTGATGATGTTTTCTCTCCCTGAAGTGATCTAAAGTGCTGCTTACTCACAGTGTAATGTGAAAGATCCATTTGTTTACCACCATTGTGCAGGAGATGATACTGTAACAAATACTTTAATGAAATAGTAAGGTTCCTTGGGTCTGTATAGGAGGTGGGAGGTGTCTGCAATGTGACTGTTGTCCTAAGGCCACAGTTTGGTCTGGGCTGTATAAGCAGTATATCAGGATGAAAATCGTGATTTTTGTATTTTTTTCTTCAGCTTTCCTGTTAAGTCGTTAATATCAACTGTGTCTCTGTGGTGATACTGTTAAATATTTAAACGTGCAACTTTATTTGTAGGATTGTGGCAGCTTCTCCTCAGTATCAGTGTCAGATGTTCTGTTTACAGAGAGTCTCTCCCATGCTGATGTGGGTATACCTAAGTGAAGACATTTATGGCCTTTACTCTGCACGGATTTATTGGCTGAACTTAGTGCTCAGTGCACAGAACTTAGATTAAGTGGAACTGCGGTTCTTAGAGTGTGCAGCATGGAACATATCTAGTCCTGAGTAGAGTATGACTATTGAGAGTGTGTGTATGTATATCTGTACACGTGTATCTGTCTTTGTGTGTATTTATGTATCTTTGTAAATGTGAAACCACAGTATTTAGTATATAAAACCACAACCAAGATATAACTTTTGTATTTTTGCATACATATGTATGTAAGATTTGCTAGGTATAAAAGTTTATATATAAACATGAATTTGTATATATTTACACTAGAGGACTTTAAATGGCACCTGAAGTGCAAAGGTTAAGTTTTCTACTTTTGTTAGAGTATATAATTACATAATTGATCTAGTATATATGATGTAAAAATTGGCATGAGCAAAGAGTGTTTTTTTTGTTTTTTTTTTCCTATCATCCATGAGAGGGATACCTTCAGGAATATCATGCTGAAATAGTTGTAAATTAATGTTCATAACAAATCTGAAGATGAAATGGTTTGTGCTAGTTTAGGACATAAACACACTTAATTCTTTTAAGAGCTATGCTGAAGATGACTACATTTGGTTCCTCTGAGTTTATTTGCTTGTCTTTTCTAGAACTAGTGGTGCTGAGATATGCTTACGTGGGATCTTCAACTGAATGGGAATTTTAGCATTTAAATTATGTGGTTGACAAGAAATGAGAATAAACTGAGAAATGTGTATCCAGTTTGGCTTTTAGGCTGATCCCCTCATGAGATCAGCAGGAGAGTATTGTAAAATATCATCTTTGTTTTCTGAAGATAAATAGTTTGAATTATTGCCCTTTTTGAGTTAGTGGTTTACAATAGGACCAGGGCACAAGTATAATGTAGAGCACTCTAAGTAGGAACACAGCATATTTGTAGTTGTGTGAAGTGGTCATGTTATCAAAGACTATTTTGTTTTAACAGTTATTACAAAAACTAATTTGCCTTTTGCTAGAAATTCTTACAGTATTAGTACAAAGGAGGAAGTATCATTTCTGTTTGCTGAAGTTCTTTGCCACCTTTATTACCTCATATACAATGTGTTGAGTTACTTATTGGCATTGCCCAGTTTTGAAAACTTTGATGTAAATATGTGAGAGAAAATTATTTGATTTAAGAATATAGTTTTATAAAGCATCCCTTAGATTGACTGCTAAAATGAGATTTGGGCCCAATCTTTGGCCATATCTTTGGCATATGGAGACAGAGAAATTGCTAAGAGGAGTAATCATGGACCCTGTGCCATCTTTTCTTGAGATCTATATGGCTAATGGTCTGTGGACTGCAGTGAGATAACCTTTGTAAGCTTGAGGCAGCTTGCATGTGGGCACAGCTAGCCCTGCATAAGCATTATGGTGCTTGTGTGCATTTTTTATTTTCTCATTAAAGAAAAGTGGAAGAAACAAAATTTCATCCAAAACAGAAACAAAATTTGGTCTGCGTTGTCTCTGTGTGTTTCAGATTGACTTATAAAAGTAGTCGTGTAGATGGTTCCCTGGTGTGGTTAATTCTGAAACTTCACAATTAAACAAACAAAAGCCCCAAGCCCAATCCCAGTAATAATAAAACAGAAAATGGACCATCTCAGGAATGAGGAAGGACAAAAATAAAATTACGGTTCAAGTGGTGTACAACAAGCAAAGTATCGTACCCAGATTTATCTTCATGTAAGATATTCAGTAGTAAAACCAGGAGAGTTGCCACAAATCAAAGTGAGAACTCTTTAAAAGTATTTATGTCCTTTATTTCTCAGGAGTTGATCCAAGCACATCTAGGAACAGGTATGCTGTTTGTGCGCCTGGTCATCCTTGATAAGGGCAATCCAACTTATTCTTAACTAAGTAAAACAAGAAGACAAAAATAAACTTAGAGTTGTTTTTTTTTCCTTTCAGGTCAGAATGTCTAGACCTGTGGTCTTAATGAAGAAAGGAGTTTTTCTAAAGGTTGATTTGAAATTTGAAAATATGCTTAACTTAACTGCAAGGGTTTTAAGCAACCATGGAAAACATGCAGATTTTGTTTATATGAATGAAGTTGATTGTTTGCTTCTTTCCCCTTAAAATCTACAAACCTGTGCAAAATAAACAGGAGCCTGGTAGTAAGAAAATTATTTCCTTTGGAGTGGGATGAAGACTCAGTAAATAGTATAGGAAGATTTTCTTCAGATAGACAGATAAACAGTGAAGGTTTTTTTTTGTTTGTTTGTTTTTCCCCTGTGCTCTAGTCAAAACTCTTAAATGATTAATTCAACACACAGATGCAGATATAGACATTTCATATACTTTGTATTTGTCCTTAATCACATCCTTCTTCTGTCCTGGAAAAGTACAATTGCATGTTTATCTGTTAAAGCTACATTTCCTAGGAGTCTTTACCTGGTGTACCCCCTAACAAAATGTTTGACTTGTGAATTCTCTGAACTGAATGCTTCCTTCTGCCTGTGTTG